CCCCCCCCCCCCCCTTCCTAAAGATTTTTTTTTACAAACACACACTTTTAAATTAATGTTTTTTGTTTTTTTTAAATATTAATTTGAAGCTGATTTGATCAATACCTCTCCTTATATACGTATGTTTATGGCATCATTCCGTCTTTGCCAGACGATGGGGTAGCTATTGACACTTCATTAAAGGGTTTACGGGGCCGATCCTGGAAGTTAGGGCAGTATTGGCTGCACTTCTCGCTGGTGAACTTTGACTCCTGGTTAGATATGGCCTTCCGCAATGCTCTTTTTGTTGCAAGGGCTTAGTTACGCGCATCTTCTGTCCGTTTAAATCCTTCGAAAACTGATATTCGCCAACTGGAACGGTGCACGGTGATGATCTCCAATGGGTTTATTTCTCTGTTGGTTTCCCTCTCGTGTTCATTTCGCAAATGTACTTAGATCGAATCCGCGGCCGTCCACTAGATCTCGCCCACTCTGCCAACTCCCCAAACAACAAATCATTTCAATACGGCCTTGCTCCATTCCCTTAGCTTGGCCTATCCAGCGAAGGGGCCTTTGGCTAAGAGTATGAGTGTATATCATGCATGCTACACCTTTTAGGACGTTCCAAGACCTCTGTGTTAGGCACCTTGTCCTGCCAGCGAATTCTCAAAATGTGACTCAGACATCTTTGGTTGGAGATGTTGAGTTTCCTCTCATGACTGGCAAATGTTATGCGAGATACTAAGCTTAGATGCCTCACAGGCGCTTATTTTTTGTAATTTCAGTTTGTTTAGCATTATTCTACACTCGCGCATGCAATTTATAAAGCCATGTTCGCTGCTGCTTTTGTGATCCTGGTGTTCACCTCTTCGTCAATAAGGTATGGGAAATTCTCAACTACTGACAGATTATGGTTCTCAATAGATATATTTGGAAGGGACTTTGCTTCTGGCATCAAGACATTTGTTTTTTATAGACGTATTGTCAGTCCAACCTCTTTGTATTGCATGCGCTGGACAGGCGGTTAACTAACCACAGCCTTCTCTACAATCGCGTAAGGGCGAATATATATGTGTATGTGTGTATATATATATATATATATATATA